TATAATTTTAGCGACATTATTTACAGGAATTGTTTTAATTTTGGTGATAGAAGTTCGTAATGAATACTACAGCCTACGTAAGAAAATTGTCGCTGCAGTTCCCCGTCTTCGTATATCCCCCATATAACGGTACCTCCGGATATTCGGTATTTTGATGATTTAAGCGACATTATTCACCGGAATTGTTTCAAATTTAGTATTTGAAGTTCGAAATGGATACTACAGCTTTAGACAGAAAATTGTCTGTGCAGGTCTAAGTCATCGAATAGCCCCCATATAACGGTACCTCCCGATATTCGTTAGTTTAGTGAATCTATCGGCATTTTTCACCGGAAATGTTTCAAATTTGGTATTTGAAGTTCGTAACGGGTGCTACAGCCTAAGACAAAAAATCGTTTGTACAGGTCTACGTCATCGAATAGCCCCCATAGAACGCTACCTCCCGATATTCGGTATTTTGATCATTTTAGCGACATTATTCACCGGAATTGTTTCAAATTTGGTATTTGAAGTTCGTAATGGATACTACAGCCTAAGACAGAAAATTGTAACTGTACCTCCCGATATTCGGTATTTTGATGATTTTAGCAACATTATTAACCAGAATTGTTTCAAATTTGGTATTTGAAGTTCGTAATGGTTGCTACAGCCTAAGACAAAAAATCGTTTGTGCAGGTCCACGTCTTCGTATAGCCCCCATATAACGGAACCTCCCGATATTCGGTATTTTAATGATTTTATCGAGATTATTCATCGGAATTGTTTCAAATTTGGTATTTGAAGTTCGCAATGGATTCTACAGCCTATGACAGAAAATTGTCCGTGCAGGTCCAGGTTTTGGTATGGCCCCCATACCTCTCGATATTCGGTATTTTGATGATTTAACGACATTATTCACCGGAATTGTTTCAAATTTGGCATTTGAAGTTCGCAATGGATTCTACAGCCTATGACAGAAAATTGTCTGTGCAGGTCCATGTCTTCGTATAGCCCCCATATAACGATACCTCCCGATATTCGGTATTTTCATGATTTCAGCGACATTATTCACCGGAATTGTTTCAAATTTGGTATTTGAAGTTCGTAATGGGTACTAAAGCCTACGACAGAAAATTGTCGCTGCAGGTCTTCGTATAGCCCCCATATAAGAGTACCTCCCTATATTCGGTATTTTTATGAGTTTAGCTACATTATTCACCGGAATTGTTTCAATTTTGGTATTTGAAGTTCGTAATGGGTACTACAGCCTATGACATTAATTTCGTATGCAGGTCCACGTCTTCGTATAGCCCCAATATAACGGTACCTACCTATATTCGGTATTTTCATGATTTTAGCTACATTATTCACCGATTTTTTTTTCAAGTTTGTAATGGCTTATGACAAAAGTTGCCTATGCTGGTCCATGTCGTCGTATAGACCCTAATATAACAGCTACATTTGGTATTTCTAAGATTTTAACAGAATTTTTAACGGATTTTATTATTTTTGGGAATTGCCAAATTCGTTCCAAATGGTGGAGGGTACCTCCTTTAAAAAATTTCAAAATTTTCAAAAAAAAAAAAGAAAATAATTCACCCCATAGAAAGCTAAAGGAACATTCGATTTTGTGCAAACTCTGCAAGTCCCAATTTTCTTTACCAGTGCTAGGTGCCGAAAAGGGACAACATCGGCCCACTCCATCGAGTAATTCCCCCACGAAGGGTTCAAATTTGCAATAATTTTAACTCTTCTCTCTTTCAAAATGTGAAATAAGAGTCCGATTGCCTTCAAACTTCACACATTTGAATATTTTTATTAACTCAAAAATTTCGTGTGACGGTAGGATATATCGGTCCACTCCTTATGATATCACCCACACAGTGGGTCACAATTTTTAAATAATATAGAAATAAGCATCAGATTCTCTTCAAATTTCATGTATTCTAATATTTTTACTAACACTAGTTCCGGTGTTAAAAATGTGGGTCGTCATATTTTTAAAAATATTTTTCAACAACTTTTCGCTTGTAAATCAAGGAAAATTTTTAATTATATTCAAGGTCAAGGTTCATAAAAAAACAGATTTTTAAGAATTTCCAGTTAAAACAATTTTGATTTTTTTTTTTTGAAATATTCTAATAAAAAATGGCTATTTTTTAAAAATATTGGATTTGGAATTTTTAGAACAAAACAATCATGGACAAGTTTATTTCTTTCAAGGATTTTCGTGGCAAAAATTTGTTCGTATTTTTTCAAGGATCATCTTGATAAGGAAAGAAGATTAAATAAATTGCCCATAATTAATGGTGTGCTTCTCATGCCACAGCAATTTGCTTTAATTTCCTATTTTAAATTTTACTAATTCAAATTTAATTCCATTTTTCGTAGGTAATTTGTAAACCTCTCTCGCCATTGAAAGTCTGTTTTTCACTCAACCAATTTTGAATTTAATATTTATTAAATCTTCTAAATTTGTTTATTTGCTCTTTTCGATTATCATTGAAATTAATCAAAATGAATTAAAGGGATCTCTTGCACACAGAAACACACACAAGTAAAAAATAGAATAAAAAAAAACCAAAAACCCCAAAAAACGGCAAATTATCGGCAGTGCTATGAAAGCCAGTTAAGCGACGTCGAAAAATTACTCTTGTTTAAACAGCTGAATGAATGAACGGATGGTTGTTAATAAAATAATAATGATATGGGTCCGGCGATGAAGGTAAAATAAAATATAAAATAATGCCATCTCTTTCTCACATTCATAGAAAGTAAAGAGAAATCAAATGCCTTTTAAGTCTCTGAGAGAGAAAGAGATGAGAAATCATGTTTAGTGGGAACTGTTATTCCAATGAATTAGAACTCTGCATTCATGGAGGAGAAACAAAAAGTAAATAGAGAAAAAGAGAGAAAGAGAAACAATGACTCTCTTGTTGGGTAGATAATTAAGGAGAATTGTTGGCCTTTTAACTGGAATGCCAATCAGATAAGAAAAGAGTGGATATTATTGCTGGTCTGTGAGAGAGAAAGAAAAGGCAATATCATGTATGAGGGGCAAAGCAGAATCCAATTTGAAGCAATTTCATCATTGAATAAAATATCTCAGAGATAATTTTAAGAATTATCTTATTGGAAAATGTGTTAAATAGAAATTTGTGCTCTCTCTTATGAAATGATTGTTGATTTTAATTGGAATTGTCATGGCAACAAGCAAAAGAGTAATGGCATGATATTATTGTCTCTTTCCCTCTTATTGGGTTTTAGGGGGAAATGTGTAGTTCATGGGATTTAAGGGTAAATATGGCGTTTTTCTGCCTTGCTTGTGTATGCGGGGGATTTAATGCTGCTCATCATCAACATCACCAGCATGAATGGGTGGATGGATGGAAGATGAGACGACGACGACGACTCTTTTTGCGAGCTCTTTGCTGCCACACGGATTCAGTTCATTTTGGTACTTTGAGCATAACAAAACGTTGTTGTCTGTAGCCGACCCCGACACGTCCGTGTTTTAATGTCGTGTGTCACACACAAATTTGTTCACATCACAATCAATGACGACGACACACAGTCAGTTCGAAAAGAACAACACACCACCAAACAACTCAACACAAGTTTTTCTGCTTCAGCATGCTCTAAGGCAAAACGAAAATCAAGTGTCGCAAAAATTACAATACCGCATTGATTTTACGGTATAGAAGAAACTCAAAAGAAAATAAAACGAACGAATGAAGAAATAAAAAATCAACAAAGAACGGTAATCGTTGAGAAACACAAAAAATAAATTAAAACACGTGCAAATTAAGAAAATATTTTCGAAGAAAAAAACAAAAAAAAATAAATAAAAAATTTGAAAAAATGTGCAATATTTTAAAAAAGTGTGCGAAAGCGGAAAATTAAAAATTTGTAACAGAAAATTGCAAATTAAGCCTAAAAGTAGGCCTTACAAATGGACAACTAGCAAAAAGCCTGGAGACAAGCAATGGAAATTGGCTACAGGAATAAATTTGTGGGAATCAAAGAATTTTAATAAAAGAATATAAAAAATAATAATTTAACAATAAAACAATAAAAAAAAAATTTGAAAAAATAAATAAAAAATCAATTTTGAGATTCCGGAACTTTAAATGAGAAAAAGTGAAATAAAATAAGGAAAATAAATAAAACTAGAAAAATTTTATTTTGAAATTGAAAACATAATATTAGTTTCGTATTCATGGACTAGAAACAAATAATAAAAAAAATTATACGAAATTAAACAACATAAAAACTTAAAAAAAAATAATTTTATTCGGAATTAAAGAGATTTAATTTCAATTTTGTGAGAAAAACTTAAAAAAAAATTATTTTTGAAAAAAAAACAACAAAAAAACTAAAATTTGGAATTACACAAAATAAATGCTGCAACAAAAATAGAAAAAAAATAATATTTCGAATTTAAAGACAAAGAAAAAATTCAGGATGTTTTAAAAAATTAATGAAAATAAAATTACAGAAAAAAATGTTTGAATTTTTTATGAACAAAAATAAAATGACTGATTGATGAAAAAATGAAAAAATAAAACTAAAAATAAAGAAAATAAATTTATCACAAAATAAAAATTAAAATTAAAAATAAACAATTTCAAATCGCCAAGACTTCTAGATATGGAAAAACTTTATGAAATTAAATTTTATCTCCAAGACTTCTAGATATGGAAAAACTTTGTGAAATTAAATTAATTTTAACTTCAAAATAATTAAAACTATAGAAATTATAAAATATTTATTTTTTAATAAAACAAAACACATCCAATTGTTTTCAATACTTTACGAAATCTGAAAAATTAAGAAAAAAAATCAAAATCAAGTTTAGATGAATATTAAAAATTTATTTAAATAATGGAAAATTTTCAAATTCTTTAAAAAAAAATAAATAAAAAATTTCACAGATCTGAGAAACAAACTAAAATGGGAAATTATTAAAAATAATAATAAATTGTTACACACCGAAAACAAAAAAATTCTGTAACACCGAAACTAAAAAAAATAAATTTTGCCGACGGCAAAATCTACGCACAGCCAAAAAAAACTTTCTTCCTCAAGAAAACCCCCAGCTAGCAATGCAAGCCACCAAAATGCGCACACCATTTGCCATACAAGAAATTTTGGGTTTGGGAGTGGGTTCTGCCGCTGCAGCAGCAGCCGCCGGCTATGCACATCCGGTGCATTTGCATCAACATCCCGCCGCTGCGGCCCTACCGCCCAGCGTGACCACACCGCCACCATCCAGTCACAACTCCTCATCAACGGCTAGCAGTAACACCGCACAACAACAACAACATTTAACAGCATCCCACCAGCATCATCAACAACAACAACGTTTATCCACATCTTCCCCACCGCCAGCCCACACACCCAACGATTGTACAAATGCCCCCATTTCACCTGCCTCATCTTCGGCCACCACAACAACAACACCCGGTCGTCATCAACGCGATTCGCGTTCCATATCACCGGATGTAACACGGTTATCGGCGGCAGCCGCTGCAGCGGCCGCTGCTGCCCATGTCCAGCTGCCGGTATTTAATCCGGCAAATTTCTATGCTGCCGCGGGTTATGCTGCCGATCCGGCGGGACCGTTAAATGTGGCCGCTCATCATCATCACATGACCACACTGGCAGCGGCTGCCTATCTCAGGGGATTCCTGCCGCCGGGTTTTAGTACCCCGCATGAATTTCGGGGTCACTTTCAGCAACATTTCGGCAGCCAATTTGCGGGTAAGTGTCGCCACTTCTATATTTTTTGAGATTTTAATTTAAGAAATAAAGTGAAAAACGTCTTAGGAAAACTGAATTAAGACCCAATTGGTCTGAAATAATTGAAAATAACCAAATAACCCACAACTGGAATTACGGTTTTATCTAGGACCTTAAAAATGCTAGTAATTTTAGGGCATCAATCTAAGGGGCTATTACAAAACCAGTTCCTATCTTGATTTTTTTTTTAAATATTTAACTATGAAATTACTGTTTTATTTGGGCGCCACTTTGACTTGGAGGCTTTTCCAAGACCTGAGCCTGTTTTATATATTTTTTCGTCGATGTAATTTAAAACTTTGTAATTATAGCTTTAATTGGGCGCCACTATAATAAAGAGGCTCTTCTAGGACTCAAGGCAATATTAAATATTTTTTCGAAGTTTGATTTTTATTTTTGCCCTTGGGCGCCACTATAATATGGAACCTATTTTCAATCTTGAGATAATATTAAATATTTTTTTCGATTTTTGAAAATCCCACTTTGAAATTCTCTCATTAATTGGGCGCCGTTTTCCAAGGCCAAGAGCCAATATTACATATTTTTCGTGGATACAGTTTAAAACATTGTTACAGCTACAGCTTTAATTGGGCGCCACAATTATATAGAGGCTCTTCTAGGACATGAGGCAATATTAAATAATTTTTTGAGGTTTAATTTTTTCCCAAAAAAGGATTGCCTGGGAAAATTGGTTTTTTCAATTTTTTTTTAATTTTAAACTTTAAAATTCTATCATTAATTGGGCGCCGCCTTGACGTGCAGGCTTTTCCAAGGCCAAGAGCCAATATTACATATTTTTTCTGTGGATGAAGTTGAAACCTTTATAATTACAGGTTTAATTGGCCGCCACAATAATATGGCGCCCAATACTATAGAGCCTCTTTTAGGACTTAGGGCAAAATTAAATATTTTTTCGAAATTCGATATTTATAATTGCCAAAAAAGACTGCCTGGGGCCTTGAAAATTCGATGATGCCATAATATGGCATTTCGAGAGCGAATCAAATAATTAATATTTCGGTAGTGAATTCTTTCAACTAAAATTCTGAAAATTGGTTGGTAAATTTGGCGCAGATTCTTTAAAATATTGTAAATTATTGAGGCTATACCAAAGATTCCACTAAGATTTCGAACATTGGCTCCTAAATTCCGGATAGATTCTTCAAAATATGGTAAATTATTGAAGCTATTCCAAAAACGAGGATGTATTTCGAAATTTTAGGAGTTAAAAATAATATCCTCCAAGAAACAAAAATGTCAAATTACAAGTTTTTTAAAAAAATGGAACCCGGGCAACCGAGAGCTACTATAACAATAAGTTTTCTAAGACCTCACCCAAAATTGACTATTTTCTCGCAAAATGCATTCTTCTCAATTGAGATTCCAAAATATTTGCTGAAAAATTGGGAGAAACACTCATAAAAAACCAGAATGTCAAATTTCAGCCTTTTCGTTGGGCGCCATTTTAACATCACCAAATATGTTTGGAAAGATACATTCATTCAACTGAAATTCCAAAATATTTTCCAAAAAATCACCAAAGAGCTTAAAAATATTCAAAATCGAATGGGGATCGACTTCCTTACTTTTGGAGATGAAAATACATCCTCTACTCATAAGAAACCAGAATGTTAAACTTAAGCCTCTATATTGGGCGCCATTTTACATGGGGGCTAATCTAAGACCTAACCCAATATTTTATGGGAATATACATTCATTCAACTGAAATTCCAAAATATTTGCAAAAAAAATTACCAAAAAGCTTAAAAATATTCAGGATCGAATGTAGATCAACTTCTATAACTTTGGAGATGAAAACACATCCTCCAATAATCCAAAATTTCAAATTACAGCCTCTTGGCTTTAACAGGTTAGCCAGGACTATTGGGCGCCACTTTAAAATGGTGGCTCATCCAACACCTGATTTAAAAATTAATATTTTTTCGAGGATAGGAAATTTGTCAAGGTGCTTTAAAATATTCAAAATCAAGAGAGGATTTATTTCTAAAATTTTGAAGTTAAAAATATGCTCTAAGAAATCAAGACGCCAAAACCACTGCCTCTTTGTTTAAAAATGTTGCCAAAGAATTGCATAATTGGGCGCCATTAAAACACGAACGCCCCTTTCAGAGCTGATCTAATAATTAATGTCTTTTAATAGGGCTAATTCTTCCAATTGAAGTTTCCAAAATATTGGCAACGTGCTTTTAAATATTGAAAATCGGGAGGAATTCTTATAAGAAATCACAAAAATTTGGCCGGGACCTTGGAAATTGGGCGCCACAAAAATAGAGAAGATCTTTTAAAACCTGATTCATTTTTTTTTTTTTTTTTTTGAAAAAAGCTTTCTTTCTGCTGACAATTTGAACTTTTTCTTTGAAAAATTTGGTCAGCACCTCTAAAATATGGAAAACTAAAGAGGTTCTCTTGTATGGAGGCTATATAATAAAAAGGGTGGCCTGTTTTTATGGCAAATCTGATGACCACTCATTTAAAAAATATATCAAATAATAGAACTACAGGGTGAGATAGAAAAAACTGCAACAAATTAAAACGCCATAATTTTTACATTTTTTTCCTAAATTTTATTGAATGAAAGCAAAAAATGTCGGAAATAGCATCAAATTTTAGAATACGTTTGGATTTGTTCGAATTGGTCACCTTTGGCACGAATTATGGCCTTAAAACGGCCAATGAAACCGTCACACGTTGCCCGAATGTTGCTCTGTGGTATTTTGGTCCATTCCCGGCGAAGCGCTTGCTTCAGGCGATCGACACTTTGCCAACCTTGCTTTCCAAAAGAGCTCCAGACACAATTGTCCAACGGATTGGTATCCGGAGATTTTGGTGGCCATTGGGCACTGGAAACGAAACGAGGAACCTCATTTTGCAATCATTCTTGGCTGGCGCGTGCTGAGTCCTGTTGGAATTTCCAAGGTCGGCGGCCAAAATGTTTGCATGCCCAAGGCTTTAATACACCCTCCAGAATATTTTTTGGCGATAATATTCGGCATTTATTATGATGCCACGGTCGATTAATACGAGCGTAGAGCGATCATTGGCTGTTATGGCAGCACACACCACACCATCACCATGGCCGGCGCTTGAGTTCTGCTGGCCAACCGAAAGTGCACATTTTCAGCTGACCTCTTTGGCACGACCTCAAACACGATCATTTTTGTTGTTATTACAAACTGCTGGACAAGGAATGTTTTCTCTTCGGAGAAAACAAAATTCGGCCGTTCACCACTTTCGGCCACGCGAAGCAACTCTTTAGCCCTTTTGAGTCTCATTTTCTTTTCTGTTGCGGTGTAACTTCTTGCACTTTTTAGAATTTCAATGGCTTACCCCCGAGCTTTTTTTTCAATATTTTGCCGAATGGAATATTGCGAGAAGTTCAGCTCACGAGCCATTTTTCAACCACTGCGACGTGGGTTTCGGGATCAAGTCGCTTCTTTAATTTTCGCACCATTTCTGCTGATGTTGCTGTTTTCTGCCGTCCACTTACTTAACGTCGGGGGCTACGCTACCGGTATCATGGTAAAGAGCAATGACGATACGAGACCCAAAAGATTTATTCACATTTAAATGCTGGAGTGCTCTGACGATAGCCACTTGTGATTTTCTAGCCAAATATAAAGACATCACACTATCACGCTTAAATTCCATCACGAATAGTTTCTTTTTCTGGAAAATTCTCGCCGAAATTCTTTTGTACGCTCGTAAACAATATAATGAGCTATCATTGGAATCATTTTAACAGCGGTCGGACGAGTGGCTTAGAAATGACAGCAGTCCGAAGTTGGTTGCCGATTTTTCATCTCATCCTGTATAAAGAATACACTCTATTGCGTTTGAATTCCACCTCGAATAACTTTTATTTTGGAAAATTTCCGCCAAAATGCTTTTGTAGGCTCGTAGACAATATAATCAGTTGTCACTGGAAAAAATTTAACAGCTGTCGGACGAGTGGCTTAGAAATGATAGCAGTCTAAAGTTGGTTGCAGTTTTTTTGATCTCATCCTGTATAAAGAATACACACTATTGCGCTTGAATTCCACCATGAATAACTTTTTTTCTGGAAAAATCTCACGAAAATGCTTTTGTACGCTTGTAAACAATATAATGAGCTATCACTGGAATAAATTTAACAGCTGTCGGACGAGTGGCTTAGAAATGACAGCAGTCTAAAGTTGGTTGCAGGTTTTTCATCCCATCCTGTATAAAGAATGCATACTATTGCGCATGAATTCCATAACGAATAACTTTTTTTCTGGAAAATTCTAGCCACAATGCTTTTGTACGCTCCTAGACAATATAATGAACTGTCACTGGAAAAAATTTAACAACTGCCGGACGTGTGGTTTAGAAATGACAGCAGTGGATCCGGTTCGATTTTATAATCATCAATTTTAAAGAAATTTTTTTTTTGCGAAAGTTTGGAACGATTTATTATATTTCAGTTGCCAGGTGTTAAAAATTTCCACAAAGTCCCTTGAATGAGGACTCAGCTACCATGCCAAAAAGTCCACTAAGTCCCTTGAAAGAAGACCTGGCTGCCATGCACCTGGAATCCCGATGGATCACTTGTTTCACCAGGCATCTGTTTTTTTTATTTTTCTTTAACGCCACATTTCTTCTAACTTTCAATTCACCGGAATTTCCCAACCTCCTACGACCTCTTGATTAGCTTTTCTCTCAAGATCTCAGGCTAATTAGTGCATACACTGGCTGGCTGGCTGCTGTTGTTTGTTGTTGTCACTTGCTGCTGTTGGGCGCTGAAGACGTTGCAGTTGCCTCTTTTTTTTTTGCTGTGCAACTCTTAGACACTTTTTTTTAAACCCATTCATTGGATGTACTTGAGGCCCAAGACAAAGCCGGCAGACATCGACAAGCTTACATACAAACATGTGTAGGACTTTTTGGGGCCATAACCACCTAAAAAGGGGGCAGTAAAGGGG